TCAATAAATATGGTACGTCGTGACGAGAATCCATTAGCCCGACACATCCATTCCTCCACCTCCATCCAGCATGCTAATTTTTATCTGAAATTTGTAAATAAAGAGGGTATAAAAAATTATACTCAATGAAATGCTTGCTACTCCACATTCAAATCATACATGAAATTATACTAAAATTCTTTTACCAACGTAAAATGAGAAATATCACACCATGAAAAATTATAATTCTAGCAAGTACTGCAAAATAACGTGAAGACTAACTAATACCCGAAGGTACACTTTAAAATGTATCATGATTTCCCTCAAACGAATCCTGAACTGAAAGAAATTAAATTCATATATAACTACTTATTTGAAAATATGTAGAAAAGTCAATGGAAAACAAGATTGTAGAAAACAAGATTCTTCATTGCAAATCGAAAGACTTAATAAAAGAGAGAAGGAGAGAGTGTATGGGGGGCTATTTTGCAATTTGTTGGATAAAATTTGGATGAGATACCAAAGCAATATCATGCCTTTATATTGTAGATTGGATTGAAGTTTTCTAAAGGGTTTAGGACTTTGAGTTAACTCTACCAAATTAAAATTAATTAGTTTTTCCGTGAATTATTATTATATATAAGACATACTTTATTTTAATACAAATAAACAATTTAACAAATACTTGAACTCTTATTTGATTTTATTTTTAAAAGAAAAAAACTTTTTTTTATCTTTGATTTTATCTAAATCGAGAGCTGATGGACGGCTTCGATTGAAATTTGAAGAATCTTGATTTAAATTGACTAATATTGGTGGTTGGTGATAAGTTTCGCTAATTAGGATAATAACTAATTAGATAATACAATGTTTGTTCCAATCCAATCCAATACAAGTACAAAAGATTAATTTCATAATTATCCTGTTATTGGCCGAAGACAGTATATATATAAATTCTTTTACATTTTGATTCTTCTATTGACGCTATCTTAATTAAAACTTATCCAAAATATCTTTTTCTCAATCCTAATTTATATAATTAATTACCATCTATCAAAAGAGTCCAATATTGATACAGTAATTTAGTCTAAATCAATTAAGTGACTCTAACTCGAGTTTAACTTATTCAAATTAACATTTTCTTGAGTCTATAATTTGCAATTTATTGCAAGTTTCAAAATGGGCCCATTATTAATATGGTAATTCTAACTCCTTCAATAATTAACCATTTGACCCAAATTTAATTCTCATTTTCACTTTTGGTCTTTCAACTATAAGGATATTCGTATAGATGCAAATTATCTATTAGGTATAACAAATTGACTTGTATAAAAACATGACTAGACATGGTATCTCTATTAATTTGTACATAATTCATGTGCAACACAACTAAAAAAAAAATCGTAGTTCGACACATCATATGCATTGGGATATATAGACATGGTATCTCTATTAATTTGTACATAATTCATGTGCAACACAACTAAAAAAAAAATCGTAGTTCGACACATCATATGCATTGGGATATATACAATTATTTGCATCTTGACCAACAGTAGTAAGCATTATTCCACCAAAACATCCCTGCAAATGGCTACTGTCCTCGTCAATCACTTTTCTACAACCATTCATGAAACCCGCCTTACATGCTTTGAATCAATAGATACCCTGAAAAGCTTGATTGAACGTGTTGATGGTGACATTTGAACCTATATTGGCAAGTAGATTTTTTTTTTTTTTTTTTTAACGAGGTGTCCCAACTTGCGCCGGACTATATCCTCGTCCCTGAACCTCCGGTCCCTCATCTGCTCAGGGAGGTAAATCGCAGGATGTGCCCTTGTTGGTTCCCAGGTTCCCACATGGCTTTTACTCCTTCCCCAAAGGGAGCCTCCTCCATGGTGATTAATCCACCAATAATTCCTCCTTTATTGGATCAAAGGTTCCCACCAGGAATCGAACTCCACACGCTTGGTTTCAGAGCCCCCCAATGTGATTGTTCCACCAACTTGGATGTGCCTTGGGGGGCTAAGTAGATCTCGATAACATAGGACTACAATTATGCAAAATGTTCTTCAATTGCCTGTGCAATAATTCCTTAGCCATATCTTCTCATTTTTCATGCCACATTTCTAGTAATCTTGATTTTCAAATCCTTCTTCACAATCGCAAGTATACTTTTAGTTTTCCATTTCAGGTCAGCCTTGAACCTATCAATATAACGATAAGTCAAGAACACATAGTTGCAATTTCTATTGTATAGATCTCGACTGCAGGCTTGCTTAAGAGAGTACGACTTCACTTGGATGGTGCCGATGTCACCCAGTTTGGATGCCCATATTCTCCAAGTCCATCCACATTTGCATATTCCCTGGACTCTTCTCCCATCAATGACCTTAAACCTCATATTGTACCTATTCAAAGCTCCATATGTTCTAATTGGCTTTCGGAACTCCATGACATCCCTAAATAGCTGACCAACCTCAAAATGTGGAATACCAACATCTGTCTCAATCGAAAACTCCGGAAACCAATGACCAACTTCATCATTTGATGCATAGTTTAGGTTGAATTCCTTCAAAAGATGGATACTCTAAATTATCAACCTAATTACCATATTCAATTTCATGCTTAAGCACATTCTTCGCTTTACCTACATTTGAACCTAGCTCTATCCCATCCGTCACATTATGTTCATAGAGATGTCAACCCTTTGTGAGTCCAAGTCATTCCCAGAATCAATGAAATCTGGGTCGTCGTCCCATCCGGAGTCTTGCCCATTCGTAGCATTTCCATCACTTCCAGATTCATTTAATTCCAAAATTGTGTCAATTCTGGAAATTGAACATTTTAGGTTAAGTAAAAGGGCATCGGATAAATGACATAACTATGAAAAATTTACAAAAATCGCCATGTTGTATAATAATTTTAAGGTGAAATTGGGCTCCAAAAATTCAATATACAATCTTAAATACGGAAAAAAAAAAGTTAATCTATAGCCCCCAGGGCACATCTCCAAGTGGTAAAAGGGAAGAGTGGAGAAATCCAGCTTTACTTGAGGCTGTCGCGTCAAGGGTTTGAATCCTGTAATATGGATTTGACTCTTGGTAAGTGCAAGTGTACAAGCAGCCTTCCACCTTGTACCTTTGGATGCATAATCTGCGATTTACCTCCCTCACGATATTCCAGGATAGGGACGGTGGGGGACCTTTAATGTTGGGGTTCAACCTTTTTTTTAAAAGTTAATCTATAACACAAACCGAAAATGAACGCATGATTCCATTAGAAAATGCGAAGTTTGTGGCCGACACCACGTGAGAATAAATCCAAGAAAAATGAAAAAAAAATAAAAAGTAAAAATAAAAAACTTCAAATTAACCTTCATGTTGTCCCTATATGTGTACGATCGCCAAATACTAAATGGGTGGGATCGTGCATGGGGATGAATTGTAGATTTCGAATTAGGATTGATTTGGGGCTTCAAATTTTCTTTCTTCTGTTTATGACGTTTTAAATGCTTCTACGTTTTGATCTTTATATTTATTTTTATTTTATTTTTTAAGACAAGGTAAAAACATTTTTCTCATTATATTTGGCACAACGTTTTACGCTACTTAGAATAACCACTGCAATTCGACATTTATTAATGAGTGTAATCTGCCACATCAACGAATAAGATAACAGATTTTTTAGAGCAAGGAATAGTTCTAACAATAGAAATTCATTTAGCATTGTGAAGGAGATTAAAATTTAGTGAGCATTTCATGACCATGGTATATATAAGTTGAGTGATTTTTGAAGCATTTAACTAAAAATGCTTCCCGTCATAATTCATTCGTGCTTACGACATTTCAAATGCTTTCACGTTTTGATTTTTGGTCTGGTTAAGAGTTATTCATTTTTTTTTCCTTTTTTTAAAGACAAGGTAAAAACATGTTTCTGATTACATTCGACACAACGAGATTAGAATAACCATAGTGATTCAAATTATTTTATTTTATTTTTAATGGGTGTTAACCTACTACATAACATGAATAAATAAGATACAGACTTTCGATTTTGAGGGTAATTGATAGAGCGCTAATGATAAAAACTCATTTAGCACAGTGAAGCAGATTGAAGTTTAACGAGTAGTCCGTGACCATGATATAAGTTCGGTGATTTTTGAAGCATTTAACTCCAAAATGAGTTGATAAAAAACATGACAACGAAGCGATGGGGAATGAAAATGATTTTCTTAGCCATACAAGATACAACTATAACAATTTTTCACACCAACTAGCTTGTTACATCAGAAAATGCAATGACAGAGAATTATATTCGACTAGCAGACTAAAGAAAACAAGTACACTTTCCTTCAGGAAGTCAGTACATATAGTAGTACATTATGCAGTTCTCAAGAAAAAATGGGGCAAATATGGCCCAACCTAGCACTAGTAGTAGCAGGCAACGAGTTTAAAGAGTCCTGTTAAACGAAATCCTCTCCAACTTCAGCTCATGCCATCTTGACTCGAGCTCAGGAATCTCTCTGTATCATGTGTAGGAGGTTTTGGACAATCTCAGACATTGGTGGCCTGAACTCTGGCTCGCGCTGTCCAGCAAAGGAAAAGATGTAAATGAACAAAATACATATATCTCTTCCTGTCTTCGAAAAATTATGCAAATCATTTATGCATTAACTTTACGGCTAAAGATAATTAATAAGTCTGGGATATTTTTTACAAATCTTTTCACACAAGCCGCTAAAACGACTAATCCATGCCCAGATAAGTATATCAAAATGGAGAAAAATGCATCAACAATCCCCAATCCAACGTTATACGAGACAGTCTTTTGGGGGGCATACAGGTAATTCATATTATAAATGCACCCATTTTCCTAAATAAATGAGGGAAAAAAAAGAAAAGAAAAGAAAATAAAGATAAATCAATCTTCTACTCGTAATTCATTAGAAATGCACCAAGTTTTCTAAATAAATGAAAAAGAAAAGAAAGAGAAAGAAAAATTAATCTCCCCAACGAAGCGATGGGGAATGAAAATGATTTTCTTAGCCATACAAGATGCAACTATAACAATTTTACACACCAACTAGCTTGTTACATCAGAAAATGCAATGACAGAATTATATTCGACTAGCAGACTAAAGAAAACAAGTACACTTTCCTTCAGGAAGTCAGTACATATAGTACTACATTATGCAGTTCTCAAGAAAAAATGGGGCAAATATGGCCCAACCTAGCACTAGTAGTAGCAGGCAACGAGTTTAAAGAGTCCTGTTAAACGAAATCCTCTCCAACTTCAGCTCATGCCATCTTGACTCGAGCTCAGGAATCTCTCTGTATCATGTGTAGGAGGTTTTGGACAATCTCAGACATTGGTGGCCTGAACTCTGGCTCGCGCTGTCCAGCAAAGGAAAAGATGTAAATGAACAAAATACATATATCTCTTCCTGTCTTCGAAAAATTATGCAAATCATTTATGCATTAACTTTACGGCTAAAGATAATTAATAAGTCTGGGATATTTTTTACAAATCTTTTCACACAAGCCGCTAAAACGACTAATCCATGCCCAGATAAGTATATCAAAATGGAGAAAAATGCATCAACAATCCCCAATCCAACGTTATACGAGACAGTCTTTTGGGGGGCATACAGGTAATTCATATTATAAATGCACCCATTTTCCTAAATAAATGAGGGAAAAAAAAGAAAAGAAAAGAAAATAAAGATAAATCAATCTTCTACTCGTAATTCATTAGAAATGCACCAAGTTTTCTAAATAAATGAAAAAGAAAAGAAAGAGAAAGAAAAATTAATTTCCCCCCAAACAACCCCCCCCCAACAAAAAAAAAAAAAAAAAAAACACCCCTCCCCCAAAAAAAAAAAAAAAAAAAAAAAAAACACAACAACAACAACAACAGCCCACAAACCAAAGTTTTGATTTCTTTCAGAACTCCAAGATCGATCATTTTATTTAGTTAGTCTGGTTTAATTACTTCTTCTCTTTCTATTACTGAGAGTTTCTCGAATACATTCGATTTGCTTAATTCGTATAGAGACGTTTAGGAAGTTCTGCACTGTAGAGCAAATTAATGGGAATTGTGGTGGCAATTAAACCAAATATACCTCCAGTAAGTTCCTTGGTTTTACGTGGAATCCGCGCTTTTTGTTGGTCATGAATGCTGCATATTTGATGGCAATTGTGCTTGCATGCAGGAGGAAGAGGAGAGAGAAGGGGAATCCACAGGTACGGGGGTGATGGTGAAGATGGGAGGGTGACTTGGCCAGGATGTTTGAGGGGGGACAGTGGCTGACGGTGGGGGAGAAGATATTTTTTCTTTCCTTTTATCTTTTACTTCAAAACAAGTAATAATTGTTTCTCAACCAATAGCTCGGATTACGCGCGCAATATGTGATTTTTTAGGTCAAATTGGACTGGAATCCATCTGTGTGGACTCGCTACATAAATTCCAGGTGAAATAATGAATAGGACCCGAGTGCTAATCAACCGAAGAACACTGTTGTTTTTCCTATCAAAATATAGCACAAAGCCAAACATTTGTACTTGCTCTTGTAATAAAAGAAAGCCCTCTAAGATTCTGTCAGTTTCCTTTTCTCTAATCATATCATCAATGAATCATTGTCAAAAGCAGTTGAATATAAGAAATGAGAATGAGAAACTTACTTGAATGCACAAAGAAATAATATCAGCAAGCCGGGATAAAGACTTTGAAGGATAAGCACCATTTAAAGAAGGATCAACCATTCTCGATAATGCATCTATATCATGAAGCCGTGAATTTGCCCATCTAACGAGGTATTGCTCTCCACGGGGGCGCGACCTGTGTTTGGGAGTATTAGTTAACCCTTTGTTTGAACCTCATTTTTTAAAACTTAATTTTCCTTAAACTCAATTACAACCACACATTCTCTAAAAGCTAAAAAAAAAAAAATAATAATAATAAATAAATAAATAAATAAAAATCACTTTTTACAAAAACCTATTCTTTGAAAATGGGGCTCAAACAGGTGCTTAGTTTCTTCTAATCTATAATTGATATGGCAACTTTTTGAACAAAAAATAATGAAGAATAAGCACTTTCAACTTATCAGACAAGACATCTTCACAAATATTCTAACCTTTCATAAGATTTTCGCCCGGTTAGAAGTTCTAACATCACAATTCCAAAGCTGTAGACGTCACTCTGGTAGGTATAGCTTCCTAATTCAAGTTCTGGAGCACCATAACCATGACCTTGCAACTAATAAATACATTCATGTCAATAAAAGTTCAAGTAGATAGAGCTCAATGTTTGGATTTTATAGCCAGGTGTATAGCACATATCCAAGAAGCTCTGGTTACCATGATACTAAAAACATTTTTGTTTTTATAAATTAGTAGAATATAATAAATTTAAATCCTTAAAATAATAAATTCAGCACCAAATATCTGATATCCCCTTTCCTGCCAAACTTAATCTGACAGTTCGCCACGTGGAAGGTGCTTAGCAGGAGTATTTTTCGTTTTCCCTTTATCATGGACACTAATGAGTATCATGCTATTAGATGAAGTGAAGACTAATGTAACCAAAAATATGTAAATAGATATCAATAAGTTGACAAATTTAATTCAAAGATATAAAGTCGAGACTTTACCTGAGTCATGGAATCAGATGGCAGCAGCGGAGCCAATCCACTATCAGAAACTCGCACAGCAAGCTTATCATCGAGGAGAATATTAGCAGACTTGAAATTCTGGTGTACAATAGGTGGCTGGCATGTCTCATGCAAATACCTTTCAAAAAACAGTAAGACTCAGTCTCCAAAAAAATTGAAGTTCAAGAAATGGCTAGCAAAATATTTGTTTTGTAGAAAAGCAAAGAGTGGAAGTGACTAAAACAAGCAAAAGTGGGTTGAAAACTGGAGAACTCTTTGAAGTTTGAACCAACACACAAAATGTACAATAAAACTTCACAATGAAGAGCATGCTTAGCCAAGCTTAAAATAGTGAAGTAAATAGCAACTTATTTTCTGCTTATGCATAACTAGCTTTTTATTTATTTTGCATTAAAAAAGGAATACTTCTTTTAGTGTAACTCTTACATTTCTGTCAAAACAAGTAACTTATTTTCAGCTTTGACTAATAAAAAGTTTATTTATTTAGGGGTTGTTTGACAAAGCTTTTGATAAAAGTTTAAAAGGTGATGAAATTTGTGGTCAAAAAGTTGATAAAATTGTGGGTCCATGAAATATGTGGTGAAAGTTTAAGTTTGGCAAATTGAAATTTTTTCAGCAAAGTTCTATTGAACAAGCACTTATTTACTTATGGGAAAACTATTTAAGCCTAGCCAAACATGCTCTTCCGTATTACATAAACTATGATCATTTTGGTCAATATGCTGAGTTCATCAATCAACATACTCTAACGCTCTTGCAGCTTGAAGTGCCAAATGCATCCGAGCATTCCATGAAAGCTTTTTATTTATCTCAACATCCAAGTGCAGTGCTTCGTAGAGTGTCCCATTTCTGCAATAATCATACACAAGCAGACGTTGTCCATGCTCCAGACAGTGACCCACAAGTTTCACTATATTTGCATGTTGAAGTTTGGAGATAGTTGACACTAGCTCGAGGAATTTTTGATCACTCAAATGCCTAGAAGCTGTTGTGTTCAATTTTTTGACTGTCAGGACCTGGAGACAAATGAAATAATATCAGGGAAAGTTGAGACAACATATGCAATATACCATGACAATGTAGTATATAGATACTACACACTAGTCCTGATATCAAAAATTTGATAAGCTGGGCCATGACAATGCAGTATACAGGTTTAACTCAGCCAACCAACCATCACTAGCAATATCTGTAGTTATAACTCAGATCTGAATTTCAATTTGTCAACTAAAAATGTTTAAACTCGAAGTAAAATCAAAATCACGTGATGTGAAATAAAGATTATAAAAGTGCGCTACTCAATCAAGTCATTGAATAATCTTGTTAAAGCAAACAATCACCTTGTGCCAATTGATTAAAGCGAGAAAACAAGAATAAATGCAGTAAAAAGCAACAAATTCCACTCCCTTAGCAGGAGGTCAGATAAATCAGAAGATGCTTACTTTTCCTCCAGGAAGCTCGGCTTTGTAAACCGTGCCAAGTGTGCCTTCCCCAATTAGATTTTCAGGAGAAAAACTCTTTGTATACTGTTGAAGAGATGCAATGGTAAAGAACTTTACAGAGTCGACACGATTAGAAGCATGTTGGCTTGAGCTTAATGGAGAAAAATTTGGATCTGAAGCAACCCTTTCAGCAGGAAGAAGTGGAAGAGGATGTGCGCGTGGGGGTAGCTGCGTATAATCTAAATTTGTCATATCTATGCTGTGATCTTTTTCCTGATTTAGCAATGCAGTCTTTCTCTTACTACCTCCAACAGACTGCTGTAGACTTATTTCTTTTGATTCTGCTCACAGGACTCAAAAGATCATTCATTGAAGTAAAAGGGAAATAATAACTCGAAAAATCGTACAATGGCGACAAGCATAGACAAGTAGCATATAGAAAGTGTGAATTTACCTCTATCTACTTGGTAATGAGGCTTTGACAAAGACTGGTCTTGTTTGTGACCGAGAGCACCAAATGCTCCCATTTCATACTTTTTCATGGTTTTCTCTTTCAATTTCCTTCTTTTACAGCATTTGAACATGAGAGCACATAGCCCCAAAGCTAGTAATACAACTGCCAATAAACCAGCAATAGCAATCCACGAAACACTTTTTGTTGTACTATTATGTCCTTCCCTTCCAAATTGTGGTAATTGGGATGCTGATGGTCCATTAGCTCGTTCTGTAGGAGCCACGTGAGGAGAAGGTGCAATAGATGGGGGTAATGAAGGAGATGATGCTGGTGGAGATGGTATAATCGTAGTATTAAAGGGGTTCCCTTCTCGTCTGCACCACAAATTGAAAATTTTACAAAGGCTACACCATAACTCATCCAAGGCAGAGTACGTGCTATAAGTTCCATATGAAAAGGCATAGCTAAATGAAAAAGAAATTAACTTGTGAGTTTCACCTAAAGTCCGGAATACTAAGTAACTTCTCGGGTATAGGTCCAGAAAACAGATTATTTTCTATGTTCCTAAGGAGCAAAAAAAAGCCAGTCAGACTATCTAACAACAAATTGAGGGAAAGGGAAATTTCAAAATATCTAATTTCATTTATAAATATAAGTACAAAGCTCTGAGGGGGAGATCTTTTAGAACATCCAGAGTTCCAGTAAGCCGATTGTTTTGCAAATGCCTGCAATGAAGAGACATTATTACGTTAAAAAGGAAAATATATTTGAAGAGATACAAAGATATTACAAATATATCCTGCGATTGTGATGTAAATCCGAAAGTTGTGAAGAGCCTAGGACAATGGATTGACCAAGTATCATCAATTTTTCCAAAATAATACAAGACTTCGCTAGCAGGATGTCATGAGCTTATCAGTGTATAGTCCAGTTTTGCCATAGGCATTCAATTTTGAGTAGTATGCTTTCTTCGTGAAACAACAAGCCACAGTAATTTCTTACAGTGTGGTAAGTGATGACAAAACTCCCATTGAAGGAGGCAGCTGACCAGACAAACTGTTGCCTGACAAATCCCTGCATTATCACTTTCGTTAAAATAAACAAATATTTTTCAATCAAATCCGTAGCTGATACCATCGAATCTTAATAGAGAATGCTTACATGTTGATCAAACCATTAAGCTGTTGAAAAGCATCTGGAACTGCTCCCGTTAAATTATTGTTATTCAGAGACCTGAGAAGGATAAGGGCACAAAATCAGTAATAACCATGGCATTTTCTGGACAATATTAAACAAGAAAACTGAGCTTAAATTTTATTTATTATAATTTCCATTTACACTGTATTGTGTACAAACATGCACAGATTGTCTCATAGTAATAAGAAATGATAGTAAAACCATGCAGGAGTAAGATAATGATACCGAACAGAACTTACAAATCCGTCAGTTGGCCTAATGAGGATAGACTATCTGGGATGCTTCCACTGAGCTGATTACCTGAGAGAGAACTGAAGTTTGTGGTTTTGGGGGGCAGGCGGGGCATTATCAGACAGATTTTAAATCAAAATATTAATTGTTGAATCTCCTAATAAATATAGTCAATAAAGTTTGATCAAAACAGATAACTAATTCATGGAAGCCAGTCGAGGCCAAAAAACGTACAAGCTCCTCATAGTGATAGGCAGGTTGGATGGTATGCTGCCTCCAATATGGTTGTTGCTTAGATCTCTGCTTTAAGGAAGATAAAAATCCTTCATGAGGCTCCATTTAGAAGATAATTGCCAATTAGCGCAAAACATTATTCAGGCTAGTAATTGAACACGATAAACTTACTTGACAGATGAACTTACATTTGTATAATCGAGGCAAAAGATCCCAAGTCTTCACTCAGTTCACCCCCCAAATTTGCTCCATTTAGAATGCTATCAATAACAGAGCACACAAATTCAATTCAAAAGGCAAGAAAATAATCATGTCCTGCAATGAAACAGCAAGAACGAATCGTACATAGACGTTATGTTGGAATTGACACACAATACTCCTTGCCAATTCAGTCCGCACGGGTCTCCCCCAAAAGGAATCCAATTAGGAAGGGGAGGGAAGCCCAGAGAAGCATATAAACTGTTTAGTGCATAAACTAACAGAAATCACAGAAAAGAAAAAAGGATTAATATGATAAATATTAAATTTTACCACATAATTATCATTTACATTTTATACTAATATATTCCAGTTCTTAAGAATAAGAAAAGAACCCGCACACACAGTATCTGAGATTAAAAATAAAAAATGTATTAACAAGGGTTTTTCATGCTTTACCATCACGAGGGTCAGTGAATCCCGTAACATATGGCTCTGCAAAAATCATCAAAAGCACAAAAAAACACGAATGAATCCTCCAATGCAAGCAGCCCATTACCAGTTATTACCACCCAGAAACTCAGAATTTCTTCTTTTAGTGCTCCCTTCCGTCAGCAGAACCTGAGATTTAAAGAAAATCAGAGATACAAACAAAGCCAACAATTAGAAATCGTGAATTCACTCACTTCAAACAAAAAACTACTTAACCCCGAAAAATTAAAAAATTCAAAACAGTGCAGCGGAAGAACACATGTACACTTCACTAAAGCTAGTCAAGCACAAAAGCCCATGTTAGTGGGAAATTCAAAAGTCTTCAAGACCACGCCTTTTCTTAATAACATAGCAAAAATTTAACAAAAACAAGCAAAGACACAACTTACAGAATAAATGAAAATGATGTTCAAACTGTAGACGGTATGAAAAGCAGCTTTCTCTGTATCCTGCTGTTTTTTCCTCAAAAAGAGGGCAAAGATAAAATAATTCAGTAGTTAAAGTTTTAACTTTGTGCAAATATAATTTCTTTATGTATATCTTTACCGGATAATTACGCAGTAATGCTGGCTGGTTGTGTATTGAATTTTATAAATTTAATTTGAAAAAGGGGGTAGCATTAGTGTTTGAAGTATACCGTTAAGCCATGATGGGACGCGTCAAATTATTGGGCTTCAATGAAAAGCAATGCCAGACTCGTCCTTCTAATTTCGCACTACCAAATGACTAAAGTCAATACTTTAGTTTCAATCAAAATCAATAATATATTTGATTGAATACATAATTTTTCAACTACACTTTTTATCAAAATTTATTAAAAATTTAATTTTAATTCCAATCAAATTCCGGACATTTCTCCATTTTAGAATAGTGACAATATAGATTTGCATTATTAAAATAATAAATATGGATTATATATATAAAAAACTTTATTTATGTGTTCACTTCTAAAGTACTCATCAATAGATTTTAATGTTGAGATAAATAAATTTAATAAGGTTGTTGGTAAATTCAACAAGGATTGGGTTGTATATCAATGAATTTAATAAATAAGGTTGTTAATCAATTTAATATAAATCTAATTAGACATAAATCAGCATCTTAATTTATTAATGAATGGAATTTCGACATAGTACAATTCTAAAATCCTGATTTAAATTGAAATCCTAAGGAGACTAACAACATTCAAGATTAGCACATGTTTGACAATCATTATTTCAAAACTTTTTATTTTACAGAGTTACATTCAACTACACATTCATACGATAAAAATGTCATTCTTAAGATTCATTTTATGAATTTAGGATTATATTAAAAAATAAAAAAACTATAGGCATGAGTACCTATGTAAAATGGGTTAATAACTGAATGAGTTATGCTACACGCACAGAAGAAATTTACAAATTCTTTTTAAGATCATACACCTTGCATTGTGATTCAACAATTAGAAAAAATATCATAAAATTCAACCAAATAGGTGCTATAAGGGCTTTGTGATCAATTCTCTGTACGTAGGAAATTGTTCATAGTGAAATAATGGATGAGGTCACCCAATTGGGTCCATTCTTTTTCATGACGTTAATACAATTTATGAAGAGCAAAGCATGTGCATCAAAGATTAAACTTAGCAACTAAAGATGTCTAATATCCATCGGGGTACTTACAGAAATATCTTTACTTTTTAAGTTATTGTGAAAAATCAAGAAAAATATGCATGGGTTAAAAGACAGATAGATTAATTTCATTCAATAACACCATAATATTTATGGTGCTAGCCTAAAAGAGAAAAGTCGATCAACAACCAAAATTTTGACTCTTCGAAACTCCAAGTTAAGGAAAATCGAAATTATAAGAGAAAGTATTGCACAAATCAAGTCCAAGCAAGATTAAGAGCTGCTTCAACTACCATTTTTCCAAAGTATTATTCCCCAAATCTACAAGTTCGTATGTTCTAGTTTTTTATTCAACTAGTCCAAGCATTGGATCTCCTGTCTCATCTCAATTAAGAGGGGTCATGGAAAGAACATGTTCAAAATCACGATCAATTTCATAATAACTTAAAATTATTAATCTAAATGCAAAATTTCATATGTATTAGAACACACACAGCACACACACAAAACCTTAACTATAATTAAGATTTGTATGAATCGGATTGAATTTTTATATCAACTTTGAATCAATCCAAGTGATGCATGCAAGATGTTTGTGAAATGAGAATAAGAAATGAGACACTCTGTCATTTTTTTTTTTTTTTGAAAAAATCGCAATCTATCTCATTTGAATTCGTTTGGATCAATTAAAATAGATGCATATGTGTGTGTGAATTTAATTATGAATATCAATTGAAAAGTTCTTTTACATTAAAAAATAAATGATGCGCAATTTATTTGTAATTTTGCATATGAATTAAGATGTTAAAACTTAAAAGTGACATTCTCTATTCCTTTTTTCTAAAGAGATCACAATTTATTTCATTTGAAATCTTTAGAATTAATTAAATAGATCCACACAGGTGTGTGAAAATTTAAATATAAATATGTATTGAAACCTTGTTTTGTATTAAAAAGTGATATGATATAATACTTTATTTGTATTTTTGTATATAAATTAATATGTTAAAACTTGAAAGTAACATTCTCAGTTACCTTTTCCTTTCCTTTTTTTTTTTTTTTTTAAAACCAAAAGTCGCTATCTATCTCATCAAAATTCTTTAGTATCAATTAAAGGGATTCATATATTTGTATTCGTGAAAATTTAAATATGAATATAAATTCAAATATTGCTTTATATTAAAAAATGACATGATGTAACACTTTATTTGTATTATTTTCATATGAGTTAATATGATGTGAAAACTGTCACTTTTATAAAAAAATCTCACACAAATTTGTTTGTATTCTTTTTGCAGATATGAATAAAATTAATATTTTTATTTATTATGGAGATAAATGGGGGATAAGATAATGCCCCTGTTTGGCCCTCATTAAATTATATTTTATTTCTTTCTCTCTTATTTTTAATCACACAATCTTTTATAAAATAATATTACACGTAAATTGATAATTTTTACTTCTTTTTCAACCACTCATTTAAAAAATAAAAAAAACACTATTCCACTCATTTTCATTTCTGGAAAATGGGGGCCAAATGAGGGCAATGATATAAAAGTGACAAAATAACTGAAATTATCGTCCCGAGTGGATTGTACATACAACAACCTCGAGAGAGTGATATATATATATATATATATATATATAGAGAGAGAGAGAGAGAGAGAGAGAGAGGAAAAACTTGTCTTTGATGGAGATTTTCAGACAATTTTTTACTAACATTTTATTTAGTGCTCAAGGGAAAGGATAAATATCTTGCAAGCTTTTTATTGTATGTAGATGTGATAGCGGTATCAGAAAGTCGCAAAGTTGAGTTTCTTGATGACATATTATATCATTTTTTTTAAAAAAGACTAATATTTAACATTGATACAAAATTGATATGCAATTCCATCGATAAAACAATTGTGTCTCCTTATCTTTAGACACAGGTTAAATTGTGAAGTTCAAGTTTTTGAATAATACAATATTTTTATAAATTTCAAATTTCATGTCACTTTTTGATATAAAAAAAAAATGACATTATGTCGTTTTTTTTTAAGTGCTATACAATTTTTTCTTGGTAAAATCGCATTAAAATATTCATGTCATATCGAAAAGTAGCAATTACCAACCAACTTAATACTGCCAAGCTGATAAAACTATAAAATATCGACTACCAACATATTGAATGTGGCCGAAATTGATCTAATTACCAAACAACTAAAACTACAAAATATAAAAAAATTTGAATAAACACCATTGCTTCTAATTAGTGTTTGTCAATCCTATACATTCATCTATCTTTACCTTTTCAAATGCATCTTCATATCTACCTCTTCGACATATCTCAATTGCCTTTTCTTTGACATCCATTCATTATCCGTGTCATAAGTTTTGGCATAAACATATAATTGAGCAGCCAAATTTTGTCTAATTTGTGGAATGTTAAATGCCATTCACATTTCATTTAAAATTTCATTAGTGAAGTATTCTGCATACCTAATAACATAAATTCCACAATCTCTACTACAACATAAGAAGAAGACAATTAAAGGACTAAAAATTAAATGAAAAGTAACATATACGCAATTGGACCCTCTTTTTCGCTCTACAAGTTCTGGAACCATGTTTACAACCAATGGATTAATGGTATCTTATAATGTAATGCCATTGTCCTCGAAGTGGCCGGTGTTAAAAGGAAGATGAGGAACTATATCTGAAAAATGTTGAATAGCCTCAATTACAATATAATTCCTCAAAACCTTATTGCATGAATTATACTTGTTCGATTACATCTTTTGAACATCAAAATGATAGAGAATCCAATTAGCTGAGTTGGACATCCTCATTGGCATAAGAACATGGTCGACATGACTCCAATTTGTTTTGTACAACATGTACAAACCAACCACATATAACAAAAGATAAGTCCGCTTCGCTAGGGCATACTTATATTTGTAAAATTTATCATACAAAGTCAAAGCCAGTAGCTGTGGCCTTGATGGTTATATGGCTGCCATGTCTTAATAGAAATACACGTCCATATGCTACAAATAATAATAATAATAATAACAACAAAATCAACAATGTACTAAAAAATATATAAAAAATCTTAAATAAAAAACTAACAAAATAACTTACCGTCTTATCCGAGCATTCATTAGTAGTTAATAAATCATGCCACCGCTGGTAGTAGAGACTGCAATATCACCAAAGTAGAAGCACAGATTGACAACAGAACTATGTCCATTGAAATGCTTATGCCTACAAAACATAATGCAAAAAGTCACGTGCACTGTCACTTTACCACAAAAGTTACATAATGTGTCATTTTAGAAAAAAGTCATAGACGGCAAAAAATTGTAACAATCTACTTATTATTATTATTATCATCATTATCATCAATCCTTTGTTGTAACAAATCTCAAAAGCATCAACATCACATGCGTATGGAGGATCAAACCATTACGAATGCACAAGTAACTTTCAATACACGTTTCATAGTCCACGATGTGGAATCGTATTCGTTCACCCAAGGGGACTGAAGAAGTGCTATAAGTTTCTTTTTCTCTCTTTTCAATGGAGTGTCTAGGGATCACTTTATCATCAATAACAATAACATCAACATTCCGAGGTATATAAATAAAACTAAAATATTGTTAAATTATATAGTACACAAGCACAAGTTAATTGAAGTCAAAAACACTAAAATAAATATTTGCCTCTTGAAGTGTATTTCCTGTTAAATTGTATCCGTGATTTCTCCAACTCT